TCAATGCAAGTTTAGGCTATAGAGCAAAATCCTGTCTCAAAAAATGTCTCATTATCTTGAAAATGAACTGTATAAATTGTGAGTGGGACAGGAAGGAAAAACTAGGAAAAAGTGGAGGGAAGGGGTAATATTATCCATAAAGAAATGTACTAATTACCTGACTTATGAAACAGTAATCCACCCCTCTGAACATCATCTTTTTTTTTTGTCGGTTATGGGGCATGAACTCAGCCTTGGCACTGTCCCTCAGCTCTTCAGGTCAAGGCTAGCACTCTACCACTTGAGCCACAGCCCCATTTCTGGCATTTTCTGTTTATTATGTGGTGCTAAGGAATTGAACCCAGGGCCTCATGCATGCAAGGCAAGCACTCTACCACTGAGCTATCTTCCCAGCCCCTAAACATCATCTTTATAATAACAATTAAAAAAAATTCAGGGCTGGGGATATGGCTTAGTGGTAGAGTGCTTGCTAGCATGAATAACACCATGGGTTCAATTCCTTAGTACCATATAAACAGAAAAAGCCAGAACTGGTGCTGTGGCTCAAGTGGTAGAGTGGTAGCCTTGAACAAAAGCAGCTCAAGGACAGTGCCCAGGCCCTGAGTTCAAGCCCCAGGAGTGGCAAAAACAAAACACCCCCCCCTTCCCCACAAAAAAAAACAAAAAAAGAAAGAAAAGAAAAAGATTGTATCTCAAGCTCAGGCACCAGTGGCTCACACCTGTAATCCTAGCTACTCAGGAAAGTCCTTGAGATTCTTATCTCCAATAAACCATCAGAAAACTGGAAATAGTGCTGTGGCTCAAGTGGTAGCGCTAGCCTTGAGCTGAAGAGCTGAGGGACAGTGTCTAGGCCCAGAGTTCAGGCCCCACGACCATCCCTACCTCCCAAAACAAAAGACTGTCTCAGGAATCTGTGCCTCACACCTGTAATCCTAGTTATTCTCGAAGCTGAGATCTGAGGATCCAGGCTCAAAACTAGCCCAAGCAAGAAAATTCTTGAGACTCTTATCTCCAAAAAAGCCAGAAGTGGAACTGTGGCTCAAGTGGTAGAATACCAGGCTTAAGTGACAAAGCTAAGGAATAAACACCTTGAGATCAAACTTCAATATAGTCCTAGGCATGCATACATGTGTGTACATGTACATGTGCACAAGTGCACCCATGAAAACACACACACACACACACACAGAATTACAGGAGTCATAGGTCTCTACGCTTTGGATTTAGTATTTGACTGGAATTGGAAGGAAAACTAATACAAACCAATATAAACTGTTAATTAAGATTGAGTTAATTTTAATCCCAGCTACTTGAGGAGCAAAAATTGTACCAGTCTGTCCAAAAAGTTATCAAAATTCACCTCAATAAATAAGCCAGGTATAGTAATGCATGTGTTTAACCCCAGCTACAGGAGGCACAAGTAGGAGCATAATCCAGATTATATCTGAAAAAATAACATAAAGCAAAAATGACAGGAAAAAATGAGTTAAAATTTGACATTTGTTTCCTAAATTGTTTTACAGAATTTACTTTTAAGGTTTTAGACCAACCAGACTCTGATAGTTCATTTTTTTCTTTTAAATTATATCATCAGAATGGTCTTTATAACAACACTTCTAATCTGGTCTAGTCATCTACCAATTGTCATGTACACTCCAGTTAATTGTTATTATAAAGGTAATGTTCAGAGGGATAGGTTACTGTTTCATAAGTCAGGTAATAAGTACATTTCCTTTTGGATAATATCACCCCTTTCTCCACTCTTTCCCAGTTTTTCCCTCCTGTTCCCACCCACAACTTGTTGGGTTTTTGTTGTTTTTTGTGTTTTTTTTTGGGGGGGGGTCGGTTGTGGGGCCTGAACTCTGGACCTGGGGGCACTGTCCCTCAGCTCTTCAGCTCAAGGCTAGTGCTCTACCACTTGAGCCACAGTGCTACTTCCACCTTTTTTTCTGATTATGTGGTGCTGAGGAATCAAACCCAGGGCCTCATGCATGCAAGGCAAGCGCTCTACCACTGAACCACCTTCCCAGTCCCTCCACCCACAAGTTGTCCAGTTCATTTTCAAGACAATGAGACACATTTTTTCTGACAGAAACACTTACGCAAGCAATAAATACCAACTTCTATATCTCAGTAGACTACAACAGGGACAAACTAAGAAACTGTTTAATGGCTCAAAGGTATTTTTTCCCGTGTTTCTCCTGTGGTGCCTTTAGAAAGAAGAATTCCAATCCCAGGTATTCACACCTCATTTTGTTAAAGATAAGTATGTGCCAGAAAATCATAGCTTGCATTCCACTAGTTAAATATAATTGTATGTAACTATATCTATGATACACACACACTCATTGGGAGGGGGCAGGAGCTAGGTTTGAAATTGCTAGGTGGGCGCTCCACTACTTGAACCATGCCTCTAGACCTAAATATTACAATATTTTAATTTCTTCCAGTTATTCACTATCCCCTAAGTTTAGAAGCTCCCCAAATAAGTTAGTTTATCTTGTGGATTCACTGTCTGGGAATATAAACAGATAAGCTAGACATGATAATTCCTTTTTTTCCCCTTGTGCTGGTACTGAGGCTTGAACTCAGGGCCTGGTTGCTGCCCATTAGCTTTTTCTGCTCAAGGGTAATACTCCACCACTTGAGTCACAGTTCGACTCTAAAAAGTCATCAGGCGCCCCAGGCAGGGTGGGTACCAGTGGCTCACGCCTGTAATCCTAGCTACTCAGGAGGCTGAGATCGGAGGATCACGGTTCAAAGCCAGCCTGGGCAGGAAAGTCTATGAGACTCTTACCTCCAATAAACCAGTAGAAAAGTGGTGCTGTGGCTCAAGCAGTAGAGCGCTTGCCTTGAGCTGAAGAGCACAGGGACAGCACCCAAGCCCAGAGTTCAAGCCCCACAAACGACCAAAAAAAAGTCAGTCAGTCAGTCAGTCAGTCAGTCTGTCTGTCTGTCTGTCTGTCTGTCTATCTATCTATCAGGCACCAGTGGTTTACACCTGTAATCCTAGTTACCAGGAGGCTGGCTGGTAAGGATCATGGTTCAAAGCTTGCTGGGACAGCAGACTCCTATTTCCAATTAACTCCCAAAAAGCCAGAAGTGGAGTTGTAGCTCAAGTAGTAGAGCCCTATCCTGAAGCAAAAAAGATCTGGTATTGTGTCCAGACCCTGAGTTCAAGTCCTAGAACTGGAACACACACACACATAAAAAAAGTGATCAAGGGGCTGGGAAGGTGGCTCAGTGGTAGAGCACTTGCCTTGCATGCATGAGGCCCAGGATTCGATTCCTCAGCACCACATAAGCAGAAAAAAAAAAGCCGAAAGTGGCATTGTGGCTCAAGTGGTAGAGCTCTAGCCTTGAGCTGAAGAGCTGAGGGACAGCGTTCAGGCCCAGAGTTCAGGCCCACGACCGGACCCAAAAAAATAAAAATAAAAAAGTGATCAACATATTTCAAAGATCTCATTTCCCAAACTATTAAGTCTAAATTTCTTACTAGTTCTTCAAATCAGTATCATTATTCTTTTCAGGATCTTATTAGTACAGCAGACTTTGTTCTTTCTATCTAGCAAGATACCAAGTTTGCTCATTTGTAGAACAGAAGCTTAAAGAATAATAGGGCTCTCATTCCTCCTTTCTCCCTCTACATTTACTTCTAGCACAGCTTCTAAGAAAAACTCTAGTAGTCACTTAGATGATTCATTTATATAAGCTTAGCTAATTTTAGCATTTGAAAATTTTGCCTCCACATTCCTTTTTGCCATTATACAATTTCAATTATTTTCATTTTTTTTTAAGGGATAAAAAGATGTGCCTTGTATAAGCCTGAAGAGAAACCACTTCCATAGCTCCTCCTTACCCCCAGCTGAGGACCAAACTCAGGGCCTTGTACTTGAAAGGCAAGTACTCTTCCACTGAGCCAAATCCCCAACCCACAGAAACAACTTTTAATATCTATACCTACTTAGTTACTTCAAGATCCTAAAGTAAGCCAGGTGCTAGTGACTCATGTCTGTAATCCTAGCTGCTCAGAAGGCTGAGATCTAAGGACCGAGTTTCAAAGCTAGCCCTGAGACTTTATTTTGTTGGTCATGGGGCCTGAACTCTGGGCCTGGGCTCTGTCCCTCAACTATTCAGCTCAAGGCTAGTGCTCTACCACTTGAGCCACAGCACCACTTCTAGCTTTTTTTTCCTGCTAATGTGGTGTTGAGGAATGTAACCAAGGGCCTCCTGCATGTAAGGCAAGCATTCTACCACTAAGCCACCTTCCCAGCCCTAGCCCTGAGACCAGAGGTGGAGCTGTGGCTCAAAGCAGTAGAGCTCTACCCTTGAGCAAAAGAGCTCATGGACAGAGCCCAGGCCCTGAGTTCAAGTCCCATAACTGACCAAAAAAAAAAGATTCCCAAAGCAGAGCAGACTCCAACATTTATTAGGACTGTTTCAAGTTTTCTATAGTGCTCATTATATTTTATAGCAGAAGATTATTAGCTAAATTGAATAGCTCGAATTAAGACAATTTTTATCCAGAATATTAATTTCTCCAAAAACAGCATTCCTTCTGTTCCTCATTAAAATTACAAATTGCCATAGGCCATAGACATTTCAGGTCATCTGTCAATAATCAAAATACACAATTCAAAATTTTCTACAGAAAAACAGCCACAACTTCTTGGGAGTTTTCCTACACACACAATCAGATTGGAATTTAATCTGTTACATAATTATTGTTCATCTGAAGAACACACTGAGGTTGGTCTTATTTTTCTCTCTGAAACAGGGACTGTACAATTAGACAGGTTAAGTAACTTGTCCAATGTCACTCAGCTAGTTTGTGACACTGCACAGTTTCAAGCCCAGGACTCTGACTCTAAAGCTGTATAGCTCTCAATCACCCAATAACCTCTATCTCCTATACCCAAGAAATACCCATAAAATCCTCTAGTCTAAGAGTTTCATTATTCCCATTTTTTTTTTGAGCAAGAAATGAAAATAGCAATTACCGCTCCGTGGCTGCAAAGTTGGTTTGAAGAAGGAAAATAGAACCAGCTACGAAGTCCCTGGTCAGCAGTCCGTCTACTAGTGCATCTTGTTTTTTGTCTCTAGATCCACAATCATTCTAAAAAGAAAAAGAAATAATTGTATGAAATATGAATTTCACAAAAATGCACCATGCAGCATGGAATGAGAGCAAACTAAAGATTTGATGTAATTGATAAAGAAATAATTAGTTGGGTTCTGGTGTTACATGTCTGTAATCGCAACACTCAGGAGGCTGGCAAGTTTGAGGGTACCCTCAACAACAAAAAAGTTTGCAAAGAATTTAGTATATAAAATACTAAGAGGAGCTGGGCGCCGGTGGCTCACACCTGTAATCCTACTATTCAGGAGACTGAGATTTGAGGATCATGGTTCAAAGCCAGCCCACGCAGGAAAGTCTATGAAATCCAGAAGTGGCCCTGAGGCTCAAGTGGTAGAGGGATTGCCTTGAGATGAAGAGCTCAGGGACAGTGCCCAGGCCCAGAGTTCAAGTTCCATGACCTACCAAAAAAAAAAAAAAAAAATACTAAGAGGAAATTCATCTCATAATTAACTAGTCAACAAAAAAAGATTATTCTTTCTCAGTCCAAGCTAAATAAAGTCTCTTATGTTGATAGGCAGCTTATAACACAAAAGAGGATTTGTATATTTGATCCAAGAAACTTTTTTTTTTTTGCTGGTCCTAGGGCTTGAGTACTGTCACTGAGTCTGACTCTGTGCTCAAAGTTAGTTCTGTACCAGTTGAGCTACAGCACTACTTCTGCTTTTTCTGAGTGGTTTATTGTAATTAAGAGTCTCAAGGGGACTTTTTCTGCCCAGGCTGGCTTCAAACTACAATCCTCAGATCTCAGCCTCCTGACTAACTAGGATTACAGGTGTGAGTCACCAGCACAAGGCTTTTTTTTGGGGGTGGGGGGGGTGTTGATCATGAGGATTGCACTCTGGGCCTGGGGGCTGTCTCTCAGCTCTTCAGCTTAAGGATAGCCCTCTACCACTTGAGCCACAGCACCACTTCTGGTTTTCTGATGGTTTATTGGAGATAAGAGTCTCATGAACTTTCCTGCCCAGGCTGGCTTTGAACCATGATCCTCAGATCTCAGCTTCCTGAGTAGCTAGAATTACAGATGTGAGCCACTGGTTTGTTTGTTTCTTTGTTTGGGTTATTTTGAGTCAAAGTTTATGTAGTCTGGGCTGGCCTGAAACTTGAGATCCTCCCTCTTCAGCCTGATGCCTGGCTTGTGTATTGATTGGTGTCCATGTATCACTAGATACTTCAATGGGAAGAGAATTTTATGCCACTGAAAGTTCTAAGGGTGGGCCAAAATAAATATCAAGTATAAAAAATTATATCAAAACCCTTGAGATATGTCAACTGCCTATATACACTGACCTATCTCTGAACTCACACATGATATCACAGAAAGAACACACAAAGATACTGGCAGGTGATTTGAAGATAAAGATACTGGCAGGGATGAAACAAAGATAGTAACTAAAGTTTTTTTTTTTTTTTTTGGGGGGGGGTCAGTCATGGACCTTGAACTCAGGGCCGAGGTGCTGTCCCTGAGCTTCTTTGCTCAAGGCTAGTACTCTATACTTTGAGACACAGAGTCACTTCCAGTTTTCTGGTGGTTAATTGGAGATAAGAGTCTCATGGACTTTCCTGTCTGAGCTGGCTTTGAACCATGACCCTCAGATCTCAGCCTCCTGAGTAGCTAGGTTTACAGGTGTGAGCAATTGATGCCCAGCAATTTTGCATCTTGTGGGATCTTTTACAACTTTAAGTAAATAAGCAGAATTTTCTTATGTAGGCAAAATTCTTGCAGTCTTACTCCTACAACTATTTAAACAAGTAGAGTCTTTGGGTTTCCCTGATATAACCCATTTATCCCAAATTTATTTTCTCTAGGTTTAGCTTTCCACTAAAAACAAAGTATTGGAGCTGGGAATGTGGCTTAGTGGTAGAGTGCCTGCCCAGCATAAACAGAAAAAGCCAGAAGTGGCACTGTGGCTCAAGTGGTAGAATGCTAGCTTTGAGCAGAAAAAGCTCAGGGCCAGTGCCCAGGCCCTGAGTTCAAGTATCAGGACTGACAAAACAACAACAACAAGCAAAAAACCCAAAGTATAATTTCTGGCATACAGACCCCAAAGAATAGCAACTGTGTTGGATAAGGTCTACACTACTAAGTCATTATAATGCATAAGACTAAGAAACCGCCAGGTGCTGGTGGCTCACATATAGATCTATAATTCTAGCTACTCAAGCAGACTGAGATCAGAGAATCAAGGTTTGATGCTAATCCAAGTAGGAAAAGCCTATGAAACTCTTACCTCCAATTAACCACCCAAAACCAGAAGTGGAGGTATGGCTCAAGTGGTAGAGGTAGTACTAGCCTTGAGCAGAAAAAGCTGAGTAAGAGTGCAAGGGTCCTGAGTTCAAGCTCTGGTACTAGTACAAACAAAACCACATATAGAACAGCAGACTCTATAAAAGCAACACAGGATTTGCAGAGCATAATTCTAACCTGGGAAAACAAGCATTACTCTTGGCTCAATTACAAACTTGCTGCATTTTAATTTTTAAATCTCTGTGGACTTTATCTTAAACCTGCCACTTGTCACTCAGAAGTTTGAAAGATTGAAAACATAAAATAATGCAATGAATTACATAAGTGGATTATTTATCAATTAAAAGTAGTTCTAGAGGGAGGGAACAAGTGGGAAAGAGGGAACAGCTGATGCTATGCAAAACAAAAGAAATGTACAAATCACCCAACATAGAAGAAATAACTATCACAAAGCTCACAGAACTCATAAATGTTACAGACTGTGATAGACAATTTGCTCCAGGAAAGTTAGAATGTGTTTGTGACTTTAACTGAGCATCACTATCCCATAATACTGTGAAATTTGGGAAATTATGTAACCACTTAAACACAATAAAAATAAATAAAAAGTAGTTCTATTCCCAAGCCTAACACTTCATTAATACTGCCACATTTAGTTGCTTTTTACTTGGGAGAGGGAAGAGCAGGAACTCCAGTAGTATACATACACACACACACACACACACAAGGATGAGGGAGCTGAGAGTGTAAGTTCAGTAGTAGAGCAAAAGTCATGAGTTTAAACCCAGCACAAAAAATAAAAGTTGCACAAATAAGGTTCTAATGCGGCTCCTGAGAAATTGGCCTAACCCTAGTTTCAGTATTAAAAAAAAAAAAAAGGATGTTCAAAAAGATGTCTACGGAAGCAGATCATTATCAGGATTACATTATAGTGGAGACCTTTACCTCATAAATTAACATAGCTTTTCTTTCTTAAAAATATCAAAACAGCTGGGTACTGTGGCTCACACCTGTAATCCTAGCTACTGAGAAGGATGAGGTCTGAGGATGGCAGTTCAAAGTCAGCCTAGGCAGGAAAGTCCAAAAGACGCTCATCTCCAATTAACCGCTAAAAAAGCCGATGTGAAGCTGTGGCTCAAGCTAGAGGCAGACTTGTGCAAAAAGCTCAGGGACAGCACTCAGGTCCAGAGTTCAAACCTCAGATCCGGCATATACACACAAAGTCGTAGCAGTGCTAGGTGTGGCTCAAGTAGTATAGCAGCTGCATAGTAAGCATGAGGCCTAGACTTCAAACCAGTGTGTGTGGAGCTAACCAACCCAGCCTTTTTTTTTTTTTTTACACTAAGGAGTTGATATATTGTACTATCCTGTACCCTACAAAGGTAGTATGTTTGGAGGAGGGGAACTAAACTTCGACAATTCAACATAGGAAGCTTTTTAATGATGCAGGACGGCTTACTGACAGTAAATTTTAAATACATGCCCTAATTTAACTTCTTTTCCTGTCTATAGGAAACATGGAATCCTCACTTTCCTAGTTGATCTGAACTCAAAGAAAGTAGGAAAACTCTGTATTCGAATGTTTACTAATGTCGAACAGGAGAAATGCAGGAAGTCGGCTAGCTATTAGAGTAGTTACATTAGGCGTAGATATTTATAAACCATCTGCAATGACCCAGGATTCAATTACAACACCAACCCTCACATTTCAGCGTACGGGCAAATTACCAGTTGAGTCAAGAATAAATTCATTCTGTCCTACTGGCGCTTTAGATCAGGTTGCACAATCTCGAAGGCTGAAACTGCCTATGCCTAGCCCTAGAGCATCAGGTACTAAGTATACGAAGTTTAGCGCCAGGACAATTAAAAACCGGAGGCCGACTCAAGGGTCGTCTCGATCAAAATAACCAGCGTAGAACTCCCGAATTCAGATGGTCACGTCACTTGAGATCAGAGCGAAATTGTTTCAGTCCCATTGAGATCACTGAATGTACACAGGCTGTTACTTCTCCAAGGGGGTTAAGAGAGTGGAAGCCTGGCAGAAGAAACGCTACTTGAGGCGGAACTCGGCTTTTCTGCCAACTATGGGGTCGGCACGAAGTCCGCTCGCGCGCGGAGCCTTGGCGCGAGTTTGGGGGCGCAGCGGGGCCCGGCGGGGGCGGCGAGCGCACGTTCCCCCGCCCGCTCGGGCGGCGTCGAGGCGCGAATAGCTCAGCCAGCCTTGCAGAGGGAGCTCTCGGCAGCTCTGGGGTCCCTGTGCTCGCAGCCGCAGCAGCGCCGCCTGCGCCACTCGGCGGAGACGGAGACCAGCGGCGACGACGCGCGGACTGGGAGCGACCGCGGAGCAGCCGAGCGGCTGGGGAAGCACTCGGAGCAACCAGGTAGGTTCCGGGACTGGGTGGACTGGAGGATGGGTATCCCGAGACGCATCGACAGGGGCCCGGACACCCACAGGGCTCTGGGACTCAGTTGCGTGCCCGGCCGCGGGAGGGTCTGAACTCTTAAACGAGTAGCGAGCAAGGAAGCCGGAGCGCGGAGACCGAGTCTCGGCTGAGGCCACCCGCCGCGGGAGGGGCGGAGGGCAGAGGGCGGGCCGCGGCAGGGCGATCAGCCGGGCCAAGTGCCGGCCTCGAGGGCAGAGACAAAGGAAGGAAAATGGAGTCGCCGGGCGCGCGGGCCTCCGCCGCCGCCGCCGCCGCCGCCCGAGGCCTAGCGTGCGGCCAGGAGGCCTATCGAGCGGGTGTGGAGTGGGGCGGCCGGGCCGCGGCGGCGGGCAATGGTTGCGGCCGCTCTGCAGCAGGGACGGTATAGGGAGACAAACACCCCCCGGCGGCGGCGCTGGCGCCGGGCTACAGCCAGCGCCGACCGGAGCGGCCCCATCGTGACACCTAGAGGCGGCCCGCGAAACCTCCTCCACCCTGGGCCCCCTTACCTCCGCGCCACACCCCCCGCGTTCCGCCGCCGCTCCACCGCTCCGGCCACCCGGCGTCCCCGGCCAGCTCTGCGCGCCCGCACCGGCTACTGCTGCCGCCACTGCCGCCAAAGAAGCAGCTCCGCGCACGGTTTAATCGCTCCACAAGCTCGGACACAAAATGGCGGCGGTGCGGTGCAGTGCGCCTGCGTCGGCGCTGCCGGGGCCGCGGGTGCTGATAAGGGAAGGGACGGGTGGGGGGGGCCGGCCGGGCGGCGAGTGGAGGGCGGGGGAGGAAAGGTGAGGGGAGGGGTTGGCGCAGGGCAGCATGGGAGGCGGCCCCGGGCGCCAACTTTCAAAAGCAGGCGCGATGGCGTCACGGGACGCACCGCGAGTCGCGTCGTCACGCCGCACGCGCCCTCCCGCGCCCTCGCCCGGTCGCGCGTGGACTTCGCTGGCGTGGTGGCGTCCGGTCTTCCGTTGGGTGGGGCTTCCTGGGTGGGGACCGTCGTCTCGGGGCCGTTTCGGATTCCTGCCTGTTTGACCTGGTTCCCAAACTGCTCTCTCCGGCCCTCTAAACCCCTTAGGAGTTGGAGGAGTGGGGGTGGCTAGAGGAAGCGCGCGCGGGGCCGTCTGTGGGACGTGGGCGGCTCCTAGGCCCGGCCCCGCCCAGTCTCCGCCCTACTGGGACCCGCCCGTCAACCGCGGCTCAGTGGCCCGCCACCGAGTGAGGCCCAGCGGGTATCTGTGCGTTGCTGTTTCTCGTGTGGAGTCCAGTGCTCTCGAGTGACTGCAAGAAGGGCTGTGTTTGCCTAGAGGCTTCTGAAGATCTCACTCCCTAGAAAAAGAGTCTCCTGAAATCGGGTCAGAGGGAACCAGGGCCTACTCTGGGAGTTCCCAGGCGACTTCAGCCTGGAGAGATAGCAGACCACTTGAGTCTTGTGCACTACAGTCATCTTTAGCGGAAAGGACTTTTGAGTATTTGACGCCGTGTAGTTTCTGTTTTAAGACCTGCCTTTCTCATTTCTCGTCTTTGCCCGGGAGCTGTTAAGTTCCCGGTGGGTGGAGTCCTTTGGCTCCTCCCCCTCCCCTGGAAGTGCCTGCGGACCCCGCCCAGCCAGACCTTGAAGTTAACGGGGCCGATTGCCAGGTGTTGTGGTGGCTCCCAAAGGAGTGTCTTTTAGTGTTTTTACCGTAATGCGGCTTAATCCTCAACTCCCTTTCGTTAGACTCATTCAGCGTCAATGGAGATGCTTTTCCTCTATTCAGCTGATTGTTCTTGTGAGAATATTGGCCCAATATTGATGTACTGAGGTCTTTTACCCTCAAAGGAAAGAGAAATCTGTTTTCGAAAATGTAAAATCTCCAGAATTGTAGGTGCTGGTAACTCAATGAGAAGTTTTTAAACTCAGTGACTGGATTCAACCATAGTGTGGTCTGTCAGCATATGATCCTTGACTTGAAGAAAAGGAAATTCTAAGAGCAAATCAGTTGTGGAATCCCAGGGCAGAGGATTCTGGTAGTGGGGAGGCTTCAGCTGGCCAAGGGGTTGAGAGTTCTAATCTTGGACCAGAGACGTAGCTAGTGTTGGATGACTGGAGAATGTCTTTGGTAATCTTGGACAGATTCAGGTGGGTCAGACATGGATGTTAATCTAACTAGAATGGGATTAAAAAATGAGCAGAAACATAAGAAAATAGAGACAGTAGTACATGTAGGCAACTTGAGAGAAGTTTTTCGGTGAGGTAAGCACAGAAATTTAGGGATAGTCAAAAAGGATGTGAGGTGTTGTGAAGGGTTTTTGCCTCTTCCATGTTAGGGATTAAACCAAAGACCTTGTGATGCTAAGTAAGTTCTTACTACTGAGCTCCATGAGCTCCAGAGATATTTTAAGACAGTAGGTTTTTTGAGCTCCCCTTTCCTCCCCTCCTACCCCACCAGTCCTAGAGCCTGAACTCAAGGCCTGGGCACTATCCCTGAGCTTTTTTCTCAAGGCTAGTGATGTACCACTTGGGCCACAGCTCCACTTCTGGCTTTTAGTCATTAATTAGCGATAGAAGTCTCACAGACTTTACTGCCTGGCTGGCTTTGAACCACAATCTTCAGATCAGTCTCCTGAGTAGCTAGGATTACAGGTGTTAGCCACCAGCAACTAGCATCTTGAGCAGGTTTCTGCACTGTTGGGAGTGATGTAATAGGGAAGAAAGATGGATGACACAGGAGAGACGTTTACTTGACTTCTAAAGGATATAAGGGGGCTGGGAAGGTGGCTCAGTGGTAGAGCACTTGCCTTGCATGCATGAGGCCTTTGGTTCGATTCCTCAGCACCACATAAGCAGAAAAAGCCAGAAGTGGCGCTGTGGCTCAAGTGGTAGAGTGCTAGCCTTGAGCTGAAGAGCTGAGG